TCTCTCTCTCTCTCTCTCTCTCTCTCTCTCTCTCTCTCTCTCCTGTGCCCATTATTCCTAATCTACTTTGCCATTCCCTTCCCACTGGAAGCTTCCAGTCCTTGTCAAGCCTCCTCTTGCTGCTGGGAATTTGCATGCACGTGCGTTTGTTTTCCCAGTGTGTTATTCTTGGCTTTGGTCTTCACCGTGGCTTGGGTGAGGGGAATGGAGGGAAGGGATGGAAAGCTAAGGCGGGAAAGTTTGGGAAGGGTGTGATGTCTGCTCTGGGACACTGCTGTCACAAGGCCTGAGCGCTTCAGGGTCACCAGGTGAAGCTCCCAGAAGTTTCTTCCCCAAGAGACAGCGAAACAGCCACAGGAGGGCCTCTGTCTGCTTCCTGAACACAATGCTCCCCTCCCTGTCCTCACCCTGAGGTTAGTCTTCAGTCTAGAAAAACACCCCTGAGCTACCATGATTCCATCCATTCGTCCAGGAATGGAACAGAGATCAGGAACCAACACACAGAGAGAAGTGACTGAGGGAACAGCAGCCTTCATGTCGAGGTCACCAGCCTGTTGACCCCTTCCCAAGCTTTTCATGGTCACATCTGTTATCAGATCATTCATGGCCATCCCATGACACAATGAGAAGTGGAGAGGCCTCCTACAGCCACCTAACCATAGCTTCATCTTCATGAGTTCAGATCCCAAAGGAGACATGGCTCGGCCATCTGGGAGCCACTTCCTGTACCAGCTGGGGGCTTAGACCTACTCACCACACTGTGTGACGCAGCAGCATGCCTGGTCACAGGCTCTGGCTGCTCTAAGAAGGCAGAGGAGGGCGTTCTCCCTGAGAACTGATGAATTTGTATGTCCAACCAATATAGACTTCAAACAGACAAGACAGAATTTAATAACACTGTATGAGAAAGTGATAAATCTCCAATTATTGTGAGGGCTATGCCTATGCATTTTATCACATATTTACCTATTATACACAATTTTAATATGAATACAGAATATTTTGTAGGGCCATAAATGTAACTCAGTGGTAGGGCACTTACTTGCCCAGCATGTCCCAGGCTCTGGTTCAGTTCTTAATACAGCCACAAAACAAAACAAAAAAGAGGGGGGGAATTGAACAATAATTAATGCCTAAACCAGACAGTGTAAGTATTTTCAAGTACACATGAAACATTTGCAGGACTGTCTGTTCTCTGGAATGGAATGAACCTGAGAAGCATTCCCAAGCATTAACAAGTTCAATAGCTAAGTCCTTAGGAAACAAGGAACTGGGGCTCTCTGTGAGTGCTCGTTCTCCAGCTTTCCATCAACCTTGGCTTTCACTTAGAGGAAAGGCCGCCCATCCTTCTGAGGCTCGGGACCCAATTACTCCAAGGGTGGCTTTGTGGGAATTAGAGCATGTCAGTTCCTCACTAAATTCACTCTTGTGCAGACTTCTTGACACTGACACATACAATTGTCATCTACCAGAAGGCATCAGAATAAAAGTCCCAGACCTATAATAGAACAAACAGTGGTCCTCGATCAGTTATCTACTTCCGTGTAACAAACAGCTCTGAAATGGAGCGGCCACGGTGGGAGTGAACGTTGATCGTTTTGCATCTGCTGTGGGTCATAGCTTCAGCAGTGGCTCTGGTTCTGTCTCTCATGAGGCTGTGTGCAGTCAAATTGTCACCTGGGCTGCCATCGTAGAAGGTCTGACAGGGGACTGGAAGGACCCCTCTCAAGTCGGCTCACTCACACAGCTGTCAGGTGGCACCGGTTGCTCCCAGGAAGCCTCCGTCCCTTGCCACATAGCCCTTTTTGCGGTGTTGTTTGAGCATCCTTCCAACATGGCCTCCTTCCTAGAGTGACCCAAGAGAGCAGAGCTGAAACAGCAATATCTTTCATGACCTCCGTGAGAGGTCAATGTCAGCCAAACCTGCCCAAATCCTCTTGACATACTACGGTACCATGAAAAACCTCCACAGCAGTAATTCCAGCACTGATAAGGACAGCCCTTACCACAGATTCTTACTACAGACATACGTGCCAACAGCGTGGTGAGCATGTAATGCCTCTGCCTGCTCTGGTGTAGCGGAGATGCGCTGACATGCTTAAACAAGGGACAGTACAGAGACAGCTAAACTAAATGACAGGATCAGCAAGATGCTGAAGATCAAAAACTAGAGAGGCCCCGTGCCTGATTTGAGGGATGGAGATGGGGGTCACATGCCTGGGACACTGGAGTGCACGGCTGTACCTCGGACGTTTATGATGTTCTGTGTTCTGCCAGGAGCAGATCGTGAGCAGATGCTTGGGGGACAAAAGTGGGAGCCATGCCTGGAGACTGGAGATGCAGGGGGCTCTTTGGAGCACAGTGGAGGGGAGTGTGTGTGGTGGCAACCTGTCCTTCCACAGCTGTGTCCAGAAGGCGAACCAGCTGTGGTCCAATTGATTGTTTGCCTAGCATGCATGCAGCCCTGAATTCAACCCCCAGCGCCCCCTAAAACTGGGCATAATAGAACATGCCTGAGATCCCAGTACATGGGAGGTGGAAGCTGGAGAATTCAAAGCCAGTGTGGGTTACAGAGGACTCTGTTTAAAAAAATGGGGGGAGGGGCTTTGAAAGCCTGGTGAAGCCTCATCTCCGAGTCCTTCCCTCTGTTCCTCTTTCCCTGGCAGAGCTTTGCTGAAACTACCTGGAAGGAGCCACTGGAAACACCTGGCAGGCGGCCTGGAGAGCTAGCAGGGGTCTTTCCAGGAATCAGTGAGAAGCCCCTTCCCTAGACTCTGAGAAAGGCAGAGGTTCGGAAGGGCCCATGTTCCTGAAGCTGTTCCAGCCTGCCCACCCTCCCTAGAAGGCAGCACCACTCACCCCTGCCACGTCCGGGGATTTCCTCCATTTCAAATATCCCTCAGGTCTCTGAATGTGACAGCAGAGACACTGTCCATGCTTGGTTACCTTTGCTGAGTGGTTAAAACAGACCCAGGAAAGCCACGCTGCGGCTGCCGATCTTAGCACCTCTTGTCTGTGTGATTGTCTCTGCGTGCTCAGTACTCCTCATGGGTGACACAGAAGTCACGATGACACTCAGAGGAAAAATGGTCCTGCCTTGTCCAGCCAGTGTTCTCCCGGTCCTGTGTGTCTGAAGCAGGGAGCTGGGACTCGGGGACAGGTGTCCTCAGTTCCCCTTGCTCATGCACAGGTCATACCTCCACGTGGTCAAAAGGCTGTTACCTGGTATTCAGCCATGTAGACTATCCTAGATTGTTTTCTATCACTTGCTTTTTTTAAATTAAATTTCTCTTTTGAGATAGTTTTACATATGTTTGTAAGAGATACTACAGTACCCTTTATATGGCTTTCCTTCGTGGTACACTTCCATGGTATTACATCCAATATACTGATGCTGCTATGGACAGGAAACAGAACACTTCCAGCACACAAGGTCCACCCCACCCACCCAGTGCTCCTTCACAGCCCTACTCCCTCCCCTTCCACACCAGAACTCCCCTCACCCATCCTCCGCTTCTGTGAAGCGCCAGTTTCAAGGGTGCTGTATAGGAAGCCTGTGTTTGGGGATTGGCTCTGTTCACTCATTATGACTCCCTGGAGACCCATCCAAGCTGCTGAGTGTATCGGGGTATCAGAGCGTTCCTTTTCATTGCTGAGTGGGGCTCCAAGGAACTGATGCTCTATAGTATGTTCAGCCACCCACCTAATGAGGGGTATCTGTGTGGGCTCCAGTTCAGGGTGATTACCAGACACTCTCAGTTTTCACTTCTCTGGGGTAAATGTGCCACTGCCGGATCGGGTGGTCGTTGGGTAGCTAGCGCTTTAAAAATGCTCGCAGTGCTTTGCAGAGAGGATGGACCGTTCTGCCTTCCCCAGCAATTTGTGAGCAATCCATTCCCCGGCCCCAGCCTTATCCGGTTTTGGAGTTGTCGCTATTTTTCATTTTAGCCTGGAGACTTGAGTTTGATCCCTGGAACCACATAAAAGTAGAAAGGGAGACAACATAATTATCCTCTGACCGCCACATAAACTCCATGGCATGTACATCTATGCATACAAACACAATAATAATAATAATACATTTAAAGTTATATTTAATATGCTTGACCTTCTGCCAAAGCCTGCCTTGGACATTCTCAGAGCACCTACATTAGCCTACAAGCTAAGCCAAGTCATTGACACAAATCAACTTTATAATAAAAATACCAACTTTCTTATAGCTTGTTGAATTGCCGTACAGAAAGAGGGATAAACAGAATGGCTGTAAAGTGTCCTTTACACCACCATAAAGTCAAAAGTCCTATAGCAGATCATCGTAAGTAAGGGACCATCCATATTGTCAAGAAGCCTCAGCCACTGTCTCTTGCAGGCTTTAAAGAGCTGTGAGCTTAACCAACCAGACATGAGAAAGTCATCGACAGAGCGCCTGCATCTGTGTTAACTTTAAATACCTGCTTCCAAGAGAAACAGCTTACATATACATATATGGGATGCTAGGGAAAGAATTGCTGAACTGCACATGAAAGAAACTCTGTCGGGCACAGTGAAGCCAGAAGCAAGCTCGGGAGACAAACCATATGCCACCATGCCCCTGTTCACTCACTGAAAATGGGCCACAAAGTTGAGCTGAGGCTTCCTGGTAGCGTATGTAAAATATGAGAATGCTTCACCACCTGGGGACTTGTGAGCCTCTCCCAGCAGAAGCACTAAGCAGTTCCCATGTGAGAGCAGGATGCAGAGGTTTTCACCCCTGTGTTTCATGATGCCCATCATCCCAGCATTCCCCGTGTCCATATTAACAAAGCAGAATTCTGTGAATCAAGCCCGCGGAGGTCACTGTGGCATTTCCTAAGCAACTGATGCACACCGCCTGGTAAGACGCTAACTCCAAGAGTCTTAAGGTGCAGAAACCCCAGCCTGAGCTGGGTTGCGACCTACAGGTAAGGCTTGGTCCTCAACCTGCTGTGCTAAGTGGTCTCCCTTTCTGTGTGTCCCTGCAGGGCTCTGGCTGAGAACATGGCCAATGACATTGATGAGCTTATTGGCATCCCTTTCCCCAACCACAGCAGCGAGGTGCTGTGCAGCCTCAATGAGCAGCGGCATGCAGGGCTGCTGTGCGATGTGCTGCTGGTGGTTCAGGAGCAGGAGTACAGAACGCACCGCTCGGTGCTGGCTGCCTGCAGCAAGTATTTCAAGAAACTCTTCACAGCCGGAAGCCTGGCCAGCCAGCCCTATGTCTATGAGATTGACTTTGTCCAGCCTGAGGCTCTGGCCGCCATCCTGGAGTTTGCCTACACCTCCACACTCACCATCACCGCCTCCAACGTCAAGCACATCCTCAACGCTGCCAGGATGCTGGAGATCCAGTGCATCGTGAATGTGTGCCTGGAGATCATGGAGCCTGGCGGCAACGGTGGTGAGGAGGATGACAAGGAGGAGGATGACGATGATGAAGATGACGATGAGGAGGAGGATGAAGAAGAGGAAGAAGAGGAGGAAGAGGAGGAGGATGACACAGAGGACTTTGCTGACCAGGAAAACTTGCCTGACCCCCAGGACATCAACTGCCCCCAAAGCCCCTCCGAGACGGACCATCTCACAGAGAAGGCCTACTCAGACACACCCAGGGACTTCCCCGACTCCTTCCAGCCAGGCAGCCCTGGCCATCTGGGAGTGATTCGGGACTTCTCCATTGAATCTCTGCTGAGGGAGAACTTGTACCCCAAAGCCAACATGCCTGACAGAAAACCCTCCTTATCTCCATTTGCCCCAGAATTCTTCCCACACCTCTGGCCAGGGGACTTTGGTGCCTTTGCCCAGCTGCCTGAGCAGCCCATGGACAGTGGGCCACTGGATCTAGTCATCAAGAACCGCAAAATCAAGGAGGAGGAGAAGGAGGAACTAGCCCCACCACCACCCCCTCCCTTCCCTAGTGACTTCTTCAAGGACATGTTTCCCGACCTGCCTGGTGGGCCACTGGGCCCCATCAAGGCAGAGAATGACTATGGTGCCTATCTCAACTTCCTGAGTGCCACCCACCTGGGGAGCCTCTTCCCACCCTGGCCGCTGGTGGAGGAGCGCAAGCTGAAGCCCAAGGCCTCCCAGCAGTGCCCCATCTGCCACAAGGTCATCATGGGGGCTGGGAAGCTGCCTCGGCACATGAGGACCCACACCGGGGAGAAGCCGTACATGTGCAGCATCTGCGAGGTCCGCTTTACCAGGTGCGAGGCTGCCGAGAAAGCTGGCAGGCAGCAGGGGGCGGGGCCAGAGGCCACGGGGGCGGGGCGGGGGGGGCGAGACTAGAGAGGAATGTGGAGGTCCGGGGATGGAGGGAGAGCACACACTGAGCTCACTGCTTGGAGTGATGCTAAGCATCACCTGATGCAATGATTTCAACCCCCTCTTAGGAACTAAACTGTTTTCTCAAATACAGTGTTAGGGTGAAGCCTGAGACATAAAAACAGGTCCGAGCAGGGCTGTGCTGGGGAGAACTGAGGAGCCAGGCAGGTCCCGTGGAAGGGAGGCCCTCCCTGCGCTCCATAGGATGAGCAGCAAATGTAGTTAAGCAGTTTCTGTGTGCTGGGGGGGTGGGCAGTGTTTCCCAGACACTGCTCATGGCTAGCTGGCTGCTCCTACGTGCAGCTGGACAATCACAAAGATGGGCCTGGAATCCCAGACCTCCCACAACAATAAAGTCTATGAATAGGACACTGCAGGAGCCCCCATAGACCCTTTCCAGGCTCCTGACAGGATGGGCCTCTTATCACATTCTCCTCCTTATTTCTCCGCATTGCCAGAAGGATAACTTGAGATCTGAAATCATCACCTCGTAACCCTGAAGCATCATTCCATTCAGCAAATGTGTGCTATGTACCATTTTGGGCCATGACTTTTGTAGTCAAACCAATAGGTGGGGGGATATGGGGTTACAACTATCCTCTGCTAGGTTTCAAAAGCTGCTTTTTTTTTTTTTTTTAAAATCTGGCCTGTGACTACATCAGTGTCCCTGGTGTAAGGCAGATCTCCTCAGCTAGGTTCCACAGCGGAAGAATTCTGATGAGTGGCCTTCACATCGTTTTGGTGTGTCTGATGTGGGCAAAGCCTACTGGTACCTGTCTTATAGCCGTGGCTTATTGAACGAGGTCCTTTCCCTCTGTCGCTGTGGACTTCAAAGAACTTGCCTTAACAGACCCATTTATTCTAATAGCGTTTCTTGGAATTTTATTCCTTTGAGTTTTCATAGTAAGCATAAGGTTTTGGCCTTTGTAGATGGAGTGGATTTTTGAGTCATGCCCATGTCAACCTAGTGGCTTTTCCAGGAGAAAGCAAGATGAACCCTTTAAAGTGACAAGGGCTTCTGTCATGGGCGGCAGGACACTCTATTTGACATAGCGGAGGAAGGACTTGAGAACGTATTCAGGTGACCTTGGCATTGCTGAAATGGCTCAGCAGGCCATCTGGTGACCACTTTGAAAGACAACAACGAGGGTTTCCAAGCCACTTCTGGCGTGGAAACCACAAACAGAATCTGTCCTGGGTTCTTCCAGGGGGCTTGGAGGGAGAATCTCACCCTGGTTGTATGCCCTTCCTCTTAGCAGATGGCTACAGCAGCCCTGAAATGCTGATGTCAGGGCACTGTATTCCCGTTATCTCACAGGGCAGCTGGAATCCAAATTCCCAGATTCATCTCCGCCTGGCTGACCCTGATATGTCCCAGCACACTGAAATCCTGTTGAGTTACACTGTCCCTACTCCCCTCTGCTCCTGAATTCATTTGGCTCCACAGAGCCAGCCAGCCTAAAACACCTGGGCAAGGCTTAGCTAAAGCGTGGAACAGCAGAGGAATGAGCCAGAGTTCATGTGAAGCTAAGTTCAAGTGTGATTCACCCAGCTTCAGCAGGGTCTTTGCGCCTGCCTGCGAGTCCAGCCCCCAGGGGAAGATGTCAAAGACACAGACCAAATGGGGAAGACAGTTGGATCCCAGCCCAGTCATGTTCTTCTGCCCTAACCTCCTGTGCCCGGCCCTGGGCAGAATGGCCAAAGGAACAGCAACCCTCCCTTCAGGGGACTTCAGGGGACGCAGGGTACCCACACTGAGCTACTAGGAGCCCAAGTCCCCTTCTTCCTTCCTCCCCGGCCCTCCCTCTGATTTCTCACAAGACAGCCTTCTCAGTGGTCTGCAGGTCTGGGCCAGTCTACAGGCCCTGCCTTTCCTAGGCAAAATGTTAAACTTGTTCGGTCCCTGAAAACAGACTTACAGCCCTCTGGACACTAGAGCAATCTCCAGGGGAGATTCCTGGGTTCGGGCAACAATGCTGTTTTGTATAGAAGAATGAAATTCCAGAATGTTCCCTCCCAACAAATTCCTGAAGGCCACTTTGTGTGGCCTCTGTGTATGCAGTCCCCCTACCCCTCCAGGTCAGCTCAGCCCTAGAGAGTTTCTGGTTATCAAGCTCCAACCCTGCCCGCCCCACAGTCACTCCCCGTCCTTTGCGAGATGACAGCCATCTGGGATCTGGGCCTGTCTGTAGCAACTACATTCCAGCCCCCATCTCACCTCCCCTCTCTTGGTTCCCACTCCCCTGACCCTTCTGAACAAGATCAGACAGGCTTTGGGGGCTGCTCTCCAAGGTCAAGGGCAGGAACTGCAGAGGAGATGTTGCTGGAATCCAGACTCCCATCAGGGACTTTTTCTCACCGTGGACTGAGACTGTCGTGCTGATCACTCCCCCATCACATTCTTCAGAACCACTAGCCCTTTCCTTGCTGCCCTCCCCAGGGCTACCCTGAAAGAATCCTTTCCTGCCCAGCCAAAAACCATCCATCTAGAGCTCCAGCCTCGACCTGCCAGGTTGAGGTTTTCCTGCGACCTTCTCTGCAGCCAGTTCCCTTACAGCCCTTCCATGGGCCTGAGTTCCCTGGCCATCATTCATTACACCTTCCCCTCTCCCCATGTGGAGGCTCTTCTGCAGCATGGTTGCCTCCAGACTGGAATTCCCAGAGTTCCTTGCAAGCTAAGCCATTCCTTTGTACTGAAAGCCAAACAGGCTGAGAGGTTCTGAGCTCAGGCAGGCCTTCCTCCCCACAGCTAAGCTCCTGAGTCCATGGGACCTTTTCTCTCTCCTCAGTGCTGGGCAGAACTTAGGTTTTCTGGCTCACCTCAGCCGTCCCATGGATGTAAGAAGGGCCTGCCCTTCTCCATCATAATAGGGTCTGTTGTCTAGATGCCACTTTCTAGAATGCCTACACTTCATGGGAACATCATTTCTTTTGAGTCCTATAGCATTGCCCAGGGCAGAGTTCTCCAAGCAAAACCCCTGCCACCCCAAGTCCTACCTGCTGCCTTCATTCTGTGGGTCTCCAAGAGGAGGGACTTCTCACACCCTGCTATGACCTAGTCCTCGTGATCGCTCAGTTTTAGATAGTCTCACTCATTGTCCCACCCTTGGTTACCAGAGTCTGGAGGCTAAAGGGAAGAATTGCGGAGTCTGGAGAGGGGACACCTCAGATGAGCCCTGAAACAGGGGGATGATAAGGAGAGGTTCTGCTGACTTGGTGGCTGTCACCTGACCTCACCCTGCAGCTAACCTCTGAACAATTTTTTTTTCCCCAATGGCAATCGTTACTACGAGGCCCTGGGCTCCAAGAAGGTCTCAAGCTTTCCCTTCTCAGCTCTTGGTCATAGGCCATGAGGTCCTGCCTATGCCTATCCCAGCCCTTGGCCAGGAACTCCTAGAGAGTAGGACTATCCTGTGTTCCTCTTGAGTCCCTCAGGCTACCCATAGCTCCTCATTCAAATGCCTTAACATGGCAGCCAGCAGGAGACGGAGACAAGAGATCCCATGGAGGACAAGGGACAAGCCATCCAGGCAAAGATTAGGTAGCACTGGCTCCCCAAGAACTATGGTACCGCCGGTTTCTGCAGAATCTCTCACCAGTAGTCCCAACTCTGTTAGACTACTGGGTCAGCTGAAGGCTGATGCCCTTCTCCCAGGCATCAGCAAGGCCTGGCCTGGGATTTCTCTGCTTTCTTTTTAGTGAAACCCTCTCAACAGCTCTGAGGACCTGATAAGTTCACAAAATGTCATCATCATTGGTGACAGGGAGAGTCTCGTCACACAATCAAGCCACAAGAAGTCTGGGTGGAGAGTGGCAAGAGACTTCAGACTGACTGGGCATCTCCCAGAGGCTGGGGCCCAGGCCCTGACCCACAACCTTGACTTTTACTAGGACAAGCTCATAAGGCCCCAGCAGTCTTCCTTACTGTGAGCCTCCCTTTGGGCTGGAAGGCGATGGTGCTCTGGGCTGGGTCTCCAATGCAGGGCAATGGAACAAGGTAACAGGAAAGGAGAGGAGAGCCAGAGAGGGCGGCCCTCATCGGAGTTAGACTGGGAAGCTCTTGGTGACAAAATGGCACACCAAAGGCAAGCCTGAAGAATTGAGTTTGATCCTCAGAACCTATATGATAAAAGGAGAGAACTGGATCTGGCCTCCACATGCATACCTTAGCACAGAAATGATCACCCAGGCGTGTACACATTTGTGTGCATACATGTGCATACACACACAAAGACACACACACACACACACACACAATGTAACAAAAAATTGTGTTCACAGAGACTGAGGAGTTGTTAAGTCAGCATTCCATGTCACTGGTCAGTCAACAAAGGAATGACCACCACCAGCTCCTCAGCTTGCAGTAGGTCGTAGCACTTTGAAAAGAGCCTCCAGCAGTCAAAGGTCATCAGGAAGCCTAGGGTTGGACCAGGCTCTGCCTCTGCCCAGCTGTGTGCCCTCACCCAGTCTCCTGCCATCTCCAGCCCATGGTTCCCAAGGTGTCACTTAAGGACATAAAGCAGGTGCTCCCTAAGCCTGATTCCAGCTTCCAGATTCCATTCACAGCAGAGAGGAGGGAGCTGGGAGCCTTTCCTGCTTGTCTGTGCCCTCAGTACCTGAAGGGATTGGTCTTTCGTGGGTTCCAGAGAGACCAGGGGGGATAGATGGCCCACTGTGAGCACACAGTCATGTTGATGATTGGCATGGAGGCTGTCCCTTATCGTGTGTCCCTTCCCTCACACACCAGGACTTCTGTATCCTTGCACATGAGCTTTCTGCCTCCTGTGTCCCACAGCTCCTGGCATCGTGAGACAGTTCTGGGTGCACCCATGGACGGAAGTCCTTGACGGGAAACAGCACATCCATGCCACCACTAAACAGATGTCCTCCCTTGCCAGCGAATGGAGGGCCTCGCAGGGCCACCGACATGATGATGACAGTCTAGGTCCCCCACAGTGGGAGACATGCAAACAGGTCTGCAAATAGACCACCAACCAGAAGAGCAGCTGACTCTTGTCTGGTTTGGGACTCGGGTTTAGATTTGTCCTTTTTTCCCTTAGTGCTGAGAATTGAACCCAGGACCTTGGACATACTAGGCCTTGCCTTCTGTGGTCACTCCATCTTTGTCCCTCAGGTGACCTGCCTTGAAAAAGAGTGTCTCAGGTCTTGATAATGGCTCTCATGCTTGCTCGGGAGAGATCCACTAGCCAGGTGTGCCCTGTGCCCCCTTCATGCTGAACACTCAGCCGCCTGGGTTGCAGATGCACTGGGCATGTGCTGCTGGTGGCTGGGAAGTCACAGCAGGTAACTGTGCTGCGTGTCAGGGTTGCCGGAGGTTGTAGAAGGGAGGAAAGTCTGATGTGAAGAAACTCTGAGCACCACACCCCTTTTTCCTCTGCCTCCCCTGCTAGTCCCGCTCCCCACCTCCCAGGCTCCCAGCCCCAGGGAGCACAGAAGGGAGGGCTGGCTGTGCACACATAGCGTACACACACACATACACATACACACACATATACACACACACACACACACACACACACACACACACACACACACACACACACCCCTCTACCTGGCAGTGCCCACAAGGACTTTTTCCTTCTTGCACCCACCCCGGAGAACTGTTTTCTAAATGAGATCTCATGCGACCTCTAGTGGCCAGAAGACACCCTGCTGTCCAGGGTTATATTGCGGGTAGTTTAAATCTGGACACTTTAGGGAGGACGCTTTGGACTCCACATCTGCTCTGACCTCAAAGCCCAGCCTGGAATTACAGCAGAGGCCACACCCAAGCCCCACCTGCAAGAGGTGGTGGAGACAGCACACAGTGCTCCTGGCCCCTAGCCACTTGGGGAGAGCTGTAGAATAATTCCGGGAGGACATGCCCCCTCCCCCACCCCATCCCCCAGCCAGGCCGAAATGCACCTGGTGTTCCGGGTGCTCAGTCCTTAGACAACAAAACCAGAAGATCGGTTTCCCTTTCCGGACCATCAGGAGGGCCTTGAACTCCCTCCCCCTCAAGCACACCCGGAGTCTCTAAGCAACCCTAGACAATGGGCGTCATGTCTGGCCCTAGCTTCAGCTTTGCCTGGAGAGTTTACCTAGCTTTGCCTAAGGTCACCCAGCAAGTGGATGGCGGGCCTGCAGCTGGAGCCCCACCCCACCCCATGCCTTGCGTCTGAATAATACTTCTAACCCCAGAGCTCCCCGCCAGATTAGGCTGCATTCTTTCTGCACCTGGCTCTTTCATAAGCCCTGAAACCTCTGCAAAGGCAGAGCCCAGGGCTTAGGTAAGAAACCACCACACCAGAGGAGCTTTCAGCAAGGTGTGCCAGGCTTCTGGAGTCTCCAGAAGAGTGCCGAGGACTAGCGGCTTAGGATGAGCCTAGAGACAGAGATCAGAGGGCATCCTGCTTCAGAAAGTCCTTTACCCTTGCAGGGCTGAGACCAGAATGCTGACGCATCTCTCCCGCACGACTGTCTTCCAGGTTGTGAAACGGGCCCCTAGCAATAAAGTGGGAGCTTCTCACTCAGAACCTGTGTGAAAAGGGAGTAGTGGGATGTCTTTCAGAACATTTCTTTGTCCTGCTTTAATCCAGAGGTGAGGCAGATGTTTGGGCAGAAGTCGAAGGTCGGTCTTAAGACGAATCCCGCTCCTGGGTTGACACCACGGATACACGAAGCCTGTTCTGAAGTAGGAAACAGTGTGACAAGTGGGCGCCTGCATCCCACTCAGGGACTAAATCCTGGCTTCTGTATTGCAGGCAGGACAAGTTGAAGATCCACATGCGGAAGCACACGGGGGAGCGGCCCTATCTGTGCATTCACTGCAACGCCAAGTTCGTGCACAACTACGACCTCAAGAACCACATGCGCATCCACACGGGCGTGCGGCCCTACCAGTGCGAGTTCTGCTACAAGAGTTTCACGCGCTCCGACCACCTACACCGCCATATCAAGCGACAGAGCTGTCGCATGGCACGGCCCCGGCGCGGCCGCAAGCCCGCCGCCTGGAGGGCCGCCAGCCTGCTCTTCGGGCCGGGTGGCCCCACGCCCGACAAGGCGGCCTTCGTGATGCCACCCACGCTGGGTGACGTGGGGGGCCACCTGGGCGGCACGGCGGTGTGCCTCCCGGGCCCCAGCCCTGCCAAGCACTTCCTAACGGCACCCAAGGGCACCCTGAGCCTGCAGGAGCTGGAGCGGCAGTTCGAGGAGACGCAGATGAAGCTGTTCGGACGTGCGCAGCTCGAGGCCGAGAGGAACGCAGGCGGCCTCCTGGCCCTGGCACTGGCCGAGAACGTGGCCGCCACGCGGCCCTACTTCCCGCTCCCCGACCCCTGGGCAGCCGGCCTGGCCAGCCTCCCTGGGCTCACTGGCCTCAACCATGTGGCCTCCATGTCTGAAGCCAACAACTAGGCTGGCCCTGGTCCACCCCACTCCAAGACCCTGACTCAAGTCCCTCTTAGGCCCGACCCGCCCCACCCAGTGGATCTGAACTTTCTAGTTGGCAAACACAATGGAAAAAGGAGAAAATACATGTTAGCTGCGCTGCTCTTTTCCCGGCCTTTGCAGGCAGCACCTCCCTTTTGCTGGAGTCTGAGATGAGCATCTCTTCCCTAAGGGTTGGGAGCCCCCGCCTCTCCCTGGCTGTCTCTGATTCACATAGAAACACACAGGGTGCCATGTCTCAGAAGGCCCCCTGCGCTAGTGCCAGGAGCACTTTGCAGTGGTATGGGGGAGGGGAGCAGTGAAGAGGGAGCACTCTGCCGGAAGGCATGCCAGGAGGAGCCAGCAGGAGGACTGTGTCCTGGCCAGGCACCTTGGTTGAGCCATACTGCCCTATGGGGGAGTCCCTTCCAACACTGCTTTAGTCAGGAGTCAGGTTTCAGTTTAGAAGTCCCAGATTCAATTGAGCAATGCTTCCCAGCCATGGGGAAAGACCATCCCACTGGGCAGACAGGCCTCCAGGAGCTAGAAGCTGGCATGGAGAGAGCCCATTTTAAATGGGCTTGTCCTGTGACCTTGGGCAGGTCAACCCTCTGTGCTTCAGAGTCACCCTGCTGTGAAAGGGGGTGGTAACATTCCCCTCCCCCTCTTCCATACACATTCACACCTGTTCCTAAAAAAAAAAAGAAAGTCCCTAGAAAGGTAGCAGTTTAGCACCCCCAGAGTACTGGGAGACAGTCTATCTTACTGGGCTTGGTTACGTTGCCTCCACATGAAAATCAGGATTTTAGATGAGACCTGTGGCAGAATTAGACAGGGACAACAGAGAGAGATGACTTTCAATGCCCAGAGGCAATTCCAGGAACCCCAAATTCTGCCCCACTTTCTGACAGGCTACTGTCACATCTGGACACCCCTGGAACAACAATCAGCATTTGCCCGCCCCCCACCTGCCCCCGAGTTCAGTCTCCTTGAGCTAATACTCAAGTGGTGGGGATAGTTTCTAACAGGCACCACCTACCTGCCTCCCCATCTCTGCAAGCGTCACAGCACCCAGGGCTCATCTGTTTGTTTGGAGCGGGGGAGTCTCCAGGGTTTGCTGGTGACACCCTTCTGCTGCGTTTGAGTCGCTGATCCCCCTTTCCATGTTTGACCAAAGGGTTCCCATGCAAAGAGGCGGAATCCTTTGGGCTGTGGTACCCTCCGTGTCGCAGGTCACAGGGTAGTAGCGAGACAACTTTGCTGGCCCATGCCTTCTTGGGTTTGCATTGGTTTCTTGACATCCCAGGGAGGAGAATCCACCTGCTTGGAAGGCTTAGGCCTGGAGTTCCAGGGCCCCAAGCTGTGGGTACGTGAGACTCAGTTCTTCCAATACTGATTGCCTTGGCTTTATTCTGTACAAACGCAAACAAAAAGGCCAGAGAAGACAGTAGACTCCATCCCTCCCGAAGCTCCCGAGAGAGAGAGACACCTTGCCTGCCCGTGCCACCAGACCACAGTCCATCCGGGAGGAGTTTCCTCAGATACCCCATCCTCCTCAGCAGATACTGGGGCTGCTGCCTCATAGATCCCTATCACAGTACAGACTTGTTTCTGGACCCATCCGCCAATATGCACACTCTGACCCCTCAGCCAAGGGACTGCCGCCGCTGACCCAGACTCGGCCGACAGAGGAACCCAGGGGAAGGCAGTACTGTCAGTCAGGCTTTTGTTTTGATTTTGTAAAGGTAACGACTTCTTATAAACTCACTTTTTCAGATGACCGCTTAGTATCTTTTGTCATTTGTTTTTGTTTGTTTGTTTGTTTTTCTGGGCTGCCGTTTGGAGTTGTACACTGTAAAATATCCAAAGATGTTGAGTACTGTATGATCGAGCACTTGAAACAAATGGGTTGCGGGGGGAGGGGTGCTTGAGTTTTGTTTTAAACTTTTTTTTTTTTTAATGTTTCTGACTTCCCTGTCTGTCTGTGGGAGAACTTTGGAATTTTTTCTATTTATAACTCTTTTTATGTGACGCCTCTGTGTATAATGACCACACAACAGTTTGCCTTAGTGATTCAAGGGACAATCTTCCATAACTTTGGTCGCACGCTGCATCCTGCCCAGAAATGCTCAGCTAATTTTCCGGCCTATTTATTAAATAATGCTAACTGATTTGATTATATTGAGAGTGGCACTTCTGTGAGATGTGACTGCTGGGCGTTCACAGGACAGCAAACAAGCCATACAATCTACAGAAGTTCCTTGCTTACAGTTCAGACCCCATGGGCATGACTATTTGAATGTCAAAGACACCTATACAAAACACAGACCTTGGACTCTTTTAAAAAAAAAAAAAAAAGTTCTTTTTCATGTGTACCATGTGCATACCTGGTACCCAAGGAGGCCAGCAGAGGGCACTAGATCCCCCGAAACTAGAGTTAAAGATGGTTGTAAGCTGCCATGTGGGTGTTCCAAATCAAACCTGGGTCCTCTGGACCAACTGCTGAACTTAGCCTTGAACTTACCATCCTCTTGCCTCAGCCTTCCACACCCAAAGTGTTTGGAGTCAAAGTGAGCTGTTTGTCTAATGCCACAGCTCACACTGGCTTTCCACTTTCCATCCTCATTTCAGGGGGTAGGGATGGGGAGAAAGGCCAACGCTCAGTTCTCCAGGCACCAGAGTCTTAGCACAAGGTGGATGTGTGCACACAAGCATGTAGAGATGCAGCCCGTGCTGTGTGACAGGGACAGTCCTGAGGCCGCTGACTGTGGCAGTTCATCTGGTCCTACCCGTTCTCTGGCTTGGGGCGCATCGCCTCCAGCCAGCCTTGCTGCCATGCTGTTCTTGGAGCTCCCTCTCCCTGCTGAGGAGTCAGGCTTCTCTTTCTCCTTTCACCCAAGCCTCTTCCAACCAGAGCCCCTGGATCCTGCCAGAGAGAGGGGATATGCTCGTCCTTGAACGAGTTCTCCCCGGTGCAGACCACAGAGCCAGGGCTTAGATTCCTTCAGTAAACGGCATTATGGACAAACGAAGGCTTAGCCCAGAGTCCTTTCTCCGCTTCCCACCCCCCTTTGTGGATGTGGTAGGCACTTGCCAGGCAGCAGTTCCAAGGACCGGGGAAAGGATCTGGTCTGGGGGTTGAATCCATTCTCCTCTGAGCTGCATGTTCTCAGACTGATCATTTTCCCATACTGGTTCTCACCGTCAGGACTCTTGGTAAAGGAACGCTCCCATGTCTCTACCCAAACAGCCCTCAGCAGAGGACCCAGCCCAGCCTCCTTCCTGACAAGAGACTGAAAGCTAACTAATTGGCCTGACATCCTTCCTGTAAGGGTAGAATGCCTGCCTCTGAAGTCACCTGGTGGTGACAACTGACACCTCTACACTCTGATACATGCAGGCCTTTATCTTAGCACAAAAATAATGCCCAAGCTGCTTGCCAGGCAAATGGCTTGCTTCTTCACAGACTCTCCTGGTGACATCAAAATGGTCCTTGGCTACCCTACAGTGTTGGGAGGTCAGTTCACAGCTGAGGGCAGGAGCATGGGCTACATGTTCCTAGGAATTCAGGCATTCTGGGATTGTTCAGTCCTCTGCATGTAATCAGACTACTAAAGGATGTAAATCATGATGGAGGCAGAATACAGATTAGGGCCCAGTGACTCCTTCCTCCTGGAAGTAAAATCTTCTAGCCTGACCATGTGGGAATTCCACAGAGCCGCTCCAGGCTAGTCCCAAGAGAGCTGGTGTGCTGGCCGCCAAGAACCTTCAGGGAGGGACGAGAGTCCCTCTGAGGACAAGCCAAGGAGCATGCCCCTTCAGCTGGAGAAGGAAGTTTAGAGAAGGCACCGGAACGGGCCCCAGGGCTGCAATGGATGGAGGAGAGCATTGGGCTAAGAGTTTGACCAGCTTGAGCCAATGAGAAAGAGACGAGGTGTCCAAACAGAAGTTAGCTTCCTAAATCTGGAGCTATCCGGAGAGGCATGAGGCCACTTGTGAGGAGTGGGCTCTGACCCTGGCACCATCCGTTTCAGGGATGCTGAGGTGGAGAATCCAGCAGGGGAGGAGAAAACTCCCGCTTCCCTTCGGCCGCTTCCATCCGGTTTGTGAACCGTGATATCACGCGGAAGGACCGCTGCCACAGAGAGTGGTACACGTGCAAAAGAAACATAGGGACAATTTCACAAAGCTACCTTGGTCCAGGGCTGCTGGGACATCCGTCTACTGTTGGGGCTGGAGAGAAGTGAGTGATAAGGTGACTGGGCCCACATGCTTGGTCTCCTCCACCTGTCCCTAGGGCTTTCTCCATCCTCTCCCTTCCCTCTTGACCTCTTTCCTCCTGGTGGTCCTCCCAGATCGCCACAGAGCAGGTAGGTGCACACTAGGGGCCAAGCGCTTCCGGGGTGACATTTGCTCTGGGGGTCGGGTAGAGAGAGCTGGGACTTCGTGGAGAATGCAGAAGCCGAACGTGAGGCCTTGGCCAGGAACCTGGCTGGTCCTCTAAGGAGGGTATGCACCGGTTGCCCGTTGAGCAGTGGAAACGGGATTGTCCTGGGACGGTTCTGCAGTGAAGTTTGGTGATCAGTGATGCCCCGCTCCCAGCCCCCGTGCTCTCCTCCCCTTTGCTCCAGGGCCCTCCCTACTGAGACTGCTCCCACGATGTGGCAGCCCTCGAATTCTCCGGGCTGGGCGCTGGATGCGCCGGCGCTGGCATGGCTCTCGAGCTCCCCCTACCGGTCCTTTCCGGCGCTGCTCCTGCTCACACGCAAACAAAAACTAAGGTAGTTTAGGTCCTTCTAGGGCTCAGGGGGTGCTGAAGACCAGTCAACAACTGAGTTTCCATACAAGAATGGAACGACTCCCTGTAAAAACCGGGATCCCTTTCCTCCTGTCTACACCCAGGGGCAGAGGTTTCCAGGAGTCAGAGTGCCCACTGACCTAAACCAAAAACTTGGATCAAAACAGTTCTGACCAAAACAGAACATCAAAACATGGAAAAACAAACAAACAAACAAAATACTGACAATTGAGCATTTTAACAACAGCTAGTCCTGCACCAAACCCAGCCCCCATGCTCATACACACACACACACACACACACACACACACACACACACACACACAGGATCACCAAATGTCTTAGTTAGATTTCTATTGCTGTGACAAAGACTATACAAAAGGCCAACTTGGGGAAGAAGGGATTTGCTCCACCTTCTGCTTCCAGGTCACCCAGTCCATCGCTGAGGGAAGTCAGGGCAGGGACTCGAGGCAGGAACCTGGAGACAGGAACTGAAGCAGAGACCATGGAAGGACCCTGCTTACCGGTTTGCTCCTTGTGACTTAGCTCACCCTGGTTTTTACAAAACCTAGGACCACCTGCCCTGAGATGGCACCGCCCACAGTGAGCTGGGCCCTCCCACATCAATCATCAATCAAGAGAATGTACCACAGGCTTGCCTACAGGCCAGTCTTCTGAAGGCGTTCCCTCAGTTTAGATTCCCCCTTCCCAGACATGTTTAGGATTGTGTCAACTTGACAGAAACCAGCCAGCACACCAGAGAAGCCGTGTCCAGGATGATGTTACTCCTCATGACCGTAGGGGACCCAAAGTGCATGACAGAAATGGGCACAGGCATTGACCCCCAGGCTTCCCAGCTGGACTGTCCATAGCTCACACTCTTCATCCTCGTAGCCCCGCCGTTAGCCAT